TCCAGTCTGGGTGACAGAGTGAGACTCCAACTCAAAAAAGAAAGAAAGAAAGAAAGAAAGCAGGATTTATTGAGAGGACAGAAAAGCTCCCACATTGGGAGGGGATCCAAGGGGCTCCAATTTGGAGCTGAAACCTGGTGCTTATATAGCCCAAGACTGAGCCGATTGGCTAGCACTAGCTGTGAGCTGATTGGTCACTTTTCTATCCCGGCAGTGAATACTTAAGCTCTAGCTAGAGAGACTCACAGGGAGCTTGTTTACCAGTGGGACTGTATCAGTTTGAGAGGCCTGCCTGAAGTTTGCTACACTGTTACCGGAGGACCCACCCTGTCTGGCTACCTAGCCTTTCTCTAACTATCTCCTCTCTCCCCATCAGCCACTGCAGCAGCCATGCAGCTCCTTACCACTGAGGGGGCCTTCAGATAAACAAGGGCATGGTGTACCCGGGACACACGGGCCCCTTGTGGGCACAGCGCCAGTCCATCCACCCTGACACCGAGAAGCAGCCTCTGTTTCTCACACCTTGGTTACTGAATGCTTCAGGGCTCAGCCAAGTGAAACCACTGCTCTGCTTCTCCCAACTGTCAAAGGAGTCTCAAACAAACAAACAACAAAACACAGGAGAAAAGTCAGCCTTCTTGGGGTCATTTCAGCTTTCTTATTTAGTGGGCCGAGGACTCCTCAGACCTGATTCTCTGGCTGTGTGATCTGTGGGCCCAGTGGTTCCTGGAGAAAGTGTGTGTTTCTTCCAACAACAGCCTTCTGCCGGATCTGTGGGTCTTTGAAAATCGGCTCATGCTCTAGGGTCAGGATAAGGTATGTGGATATCTTGGCAGGCTAATAATTTGGCATCCCCTCAAGCTGATATTCTTTGAGTATTTGTTTAGTGGGAGTGGGAGGAACTGAGCTTCTATTCATACACAGGCACAAGCCGTTTGACTCACTGAGTATACCTCCCTGACTGCAGCTTAGAACAGGGGCCAGAAAAAAATTCCCCCGGGTGAAAATTTCTCATTTCCCCCCCCAGTTTTTCCTTTCTTTTTTTCTCTTCTCTCTCTCTTTCTCCTTCCTTTCTACCTTCCTTCCTTCCTATCTCTTTCTTTCTTTTAGTTGGAGTCTCACTCTGTTGCCCAGGCCAGAGTGCAGTGGCACAATTATGAGTCACCACAGCCTCAAGCTCCTGGGCTCAGGAGATCCTTCCATCTCAGCCTCCAAGTATCTGGGACTACAGGCATGCACCACCACACCCAGCTAATTTTTTAAAATTTTGTGTAGAGATGAGGTCTCACTACGTTGCTCAGTCTGGTCTCGAACGCCTGGCCTCAAGTGATTCTCCCACCCTGGACTCCCAAAGTGCCAGGATTACAGACATGAGGCACTGCACCCAGACTTTCTTTTTAAAAGATGGACTCAGCCGGGCCTGGTGGCTCAAGCCTGTAATCCTAGCACTTTGGGAGGCTGAGGCAAGAGGATTGCCTGAGCTCCTGGGTTCGAGACCAGCCTGGGCAACTTAGCAAGATGTCATCTCTTACAATAAATCAAAAAATTAGCCAGGCAAGGTGGCATGGGTCTGTAGTTCCAGTTACTTGGAAGGCTGAGGCAAAATAATTGCCTGAGCCCAGGAGGTCAAGGTTGCGGTGGCTGTGAGCATGCCACTGCACTCCAGCCTAGGCGACAGAGTGAGAATTCAACTCAAAAAAAAAAAAAAGAAAGAAAAAAGAAATGGACTCCTACTATGTTGCCCAGGCTGGTCTCCAACTCCTGGGCTCAAGTGAACCTCCCACCTCAGCCTCTCAAGTAGCTAGGACTACAGGGGCTGACTAATTGTTTAATTTTTATTTTTTAGAGATGGGATCTCACTGTGCTGCCCAGGCTGGTCTCAAACGCATTGCTTCTGTCTGGTCCAAGAATTTCATGGTCTGCCTCTACTCCACAGTGTACTTTGCTACTCTCCTAGTGATGGGCACCCAGGTTACTTCCAACCTCGCTATCAAATAGGTCGCTGCATGCATGTCCTTTTCCATGTGTCTTCCATGAGGATGACAGTCTCTGGGACGTACACCCAGGAGAGGGGAATGCTGGGCTGTCAGGTTCATAGTTGCACATCGAATTTCCTGAAGTATTTCCAGACATCTTGCTCTCCGCGCTGATTACACCGGTGTGTGAGGGGTCCACACGCTTCCTAGGAGGCATAGGGGCTTTTAATTTAGATAATAAAATAAATCTATCAGCCCCTGCAAATGTCGAGCAATGATGAGTTTCAGAGTCCTTTTTTTTTTTTTTTTTTTTTGAGTTGGCTCCTCACTCTGTCGCCCAGGCTGTAGTGTAGTGGCATGCTGACGGCCACCGCAGCCTCTACCTGCTGGGCTCAGGTGATCCTTCCGTCTCAGCCTTCCAAGTAACTGGAACTACAGGCGCGTGCCACCACGCCCCTCATTTTTTGATTTATTGTAGAGAAGAGGTCTCGCCATGTTGCCCAGGCTGGTCTCGAACCCATGCGCCTGGGCAACCATCTCGCCTCCACCTCCCAAAGTGCTGGATTACAGGCGTGAGCCACCATGCCTGGTCAGTTCAGTCTTAGCTGACCAACACTGCATGATGCAAAATACTGGGCAGATAGATCTGTGCCCATGAGGAGGATACATGTGCACGTGCAACACATATACAGGGCACATGCACCCCAGCCCCAGGGCCCAGCCTGGGGCAGCGTGTCACAGAAACCCAAAAGTTAGGTTCGAGCCCCTGAGACGGAGTAAGGCAAACACTGACACATGTGCACTTAAGAGCAGAGATGGGGCCAGGCTCGGTGACTCAGCCTGTAATCCCAGAACTTTGGGAGGCCGGGGCGAGTGGATTGCCTGAGCCCGTGGGTTCAAGACCCGCCCGGGCAACTTGGCGAGACCTCATCTCTACAATAAATCAAAAATTAGCCGGGCGTGGTAGCATGCACCTGTAGTTCCGGCTACTTGGAAGGCTGAGGCAGAAGGATCGCCGGAGCCCAGCAGGTCGAGGCTGCGGTGGCCGGGAGCAGCCACTGCACTCCAGTCTGGGCGACAGAGTGAGACTCCGACTCAAAAAAAAAAAGCAGAGAAAGGTTTATTCAATTCAGCCAAAGTGTGAGGCTGGGAGAAGCAAACAAGTCCAACCTGCCTTTGGACAGAACTGGGAGCTTGTATGAGTTAGGTGGGTGTGTGGTGGTGTGTGGGGAGGTGAGGTTCCTGGTGTTCAAAGAGGCTCGCATCCCTCGGCGATCAGACTTCTGGATGCCACCAAGAAGGTCTGCATGACCTACGAATCATGGGAGGATCATTGTTCTTTACAAGAAAAACAAGTTTGTGAATCTTGCCAGTAGCCCCTGGGGGTCAGGATATGAGGGTAATTAATTATTAATGACGTTCCTCTACCAGGATGTCGACATGCAAGCTATCTATCATGCAGGGAGGAAGAGAAGGGCAAAGGGAAAGGAAAAAATAAGTTGTTGCTTTTAAAGCATCTTGTTATTTTCATAATACGGGCTCAGTTGCAAACACAGGCAGGAGCCATTTATATTTCCCT